TTCATTCCACTGTTGAGCACTGTTTACTGAGTACCTGGCAAGCACCGGACATTGTCCCAGGCAGCAGGGAAACAATGGTGGATATGGCAGAAAGGGCTGTGCACTGAGTGGGGCAGGGAGGGGTGACAGTATCAGGAAAGGGGACAAGTGAACACACAGGGTCATTCAAGGGAAGGTAAGTTCTGTGATGATCGTAGGACAGGGTTACACGATGGAGAGCCACATGGGGGGCAGGGGGCATCACAAGGGAGGTCTTCAGGGAGGGCCTCTTAGAGAAGACGATGTGTACACAAATTCACAATTCTCAGGACAAGGACGATAGACAGGGAGGCAGAGGTGGGGCTAGGGCTGGCGTCGGGCTTAGGGAGCAAACTGGAAACTAGCAAGTGTCTGTGGAGATGATAGCCAGGATCGCTTCTCAGGCAAGGTCCGGCTATGAAGACTGCTAAGCTATTAAGGAAATTTTTCAGAAAAGCACATTTGGTCATGAACTAGGAGCCCAAACCACAAAAGATACTGCTTCTGCAGGGGGATTTGGTGATCGGCTGAGGGGCAGGAGCAGAGGGTGCCAAAGAGAAGGATTGGCGCAGGGTGGGGAGGAGGAACAGACTCCACATCACCAGAGAAAATGTTCAGTTCAAGCTGCAAGTACCTTACGCTGTGCCTTAAAATTGCAGTGTGACCCCTCGCACTTGGTTCACCCACTGAGGGCTCCATGAAAATGGCTTCAGAGAATATCTAACACAGTTGATTCTTCCCCAGGGCTATGGACCAGGCCAGTGACCCTCAAACTCAAGGAAACAAAAGATTCATTTAGAGTGTTTGTAAAAATTGTGGGTCACTGGATCCCACCCCTAGAAATTCCTATTCATCATGTTGAAGGTGGGATCCATTTGTGATCCACAGAGAGGCCACATCTTGAGAAATGTGGAAGGATCCACTAATGGGCTTCAGGGAACCTGTGAACCCCCAGAAATAAAATGAAAAAATGTGTTCGTTGGCATATACGGGCGGATTTCTTTTTCTGAAGAGAAGGTTCATATTATTACAAGATTCTCGAAAACTTGTCAAGAACTACCTGTCTAGTCCTGACCCTAGTTTTAGACCAGGAAACAAGAGTCCTGGAATGAAATCACAACACTAGAAAACAGCGAGTTGGGGTCTCAGTCCCCATCTTCTCTTTCCAAGCCCTTCACTCTCTTCTCCTTGCTCTGTGGGGATGCGGAAGGGAAGAAGGCAGAGGATTTAAGCCCTTGGGGACAAAGTCATCAAAGAGATCACTTGCCCCCATTTTGGCCCCAGGTGAGATAGATGAGGGTTAAATAGTGTTTCAACAAAGGACCATGCTATTTCCTACATTGACATCCCAGGCCCTGTCACGGGTGGAATTCCGTCTCCAAGTGGTACCTACGGTCAGGCAGGGGACACATGTGCCCTGTTGTTGAATGCGGAAGGTGACAGAGCCATGCTCTTGTGCGGACCGGCCTGTCTACACCAGAGCAGATGGTGGCTCCAGGCTTCCTACCTGTATTCTGTTTTCCATTGATTTACTCCCTCAGGCTATTTAGGATGGTGGCCTCATTCCTGTTAGTCTGCGGAGGCCCCACTTCCTCTTGGGCACTCCTCCCAGTCCTGGTCCACGTCACTCACCTCTGCTGGCCTCCTCAAATGTGGTATGTGTCCTGCCCTCTAGTTTGGGGCCAAATCCTGAGCCTTTGGATCCATCAGCCTTGCTAACCTTCTCCTTCTACTAATACCTCCCCACCTTGAGCTTCTTCCTCTTTTTCATACTCTCCACCCTGTCCTGGACAGGATTCTTCCAGTCCTGGTGCCACTTGTTCCCCCAGCCACCCCATCCAGCTGGCTGGAGCAACCTGCTATTCAAGGCAGAATTAACTCATTGTCCAGCCACACCTTCTGCAAGGTCCCCTGCCTCTGCGTGGGGAGTTTGTGGAAGTCCATTACAAGATCTGGTTGGGCAGACCTCCGGTTCACCCCTGTGCGCTGCTCATTGGATTCTGACTCTCCTAGTCACCCCAGGTTCCTGAATCCCCACTCTGCTCGTCAAGTACTTTCCCTTGATTTTTCTTTTCTTCCTCCCTCCCTTCCTTCCTTCCTTCCTTCCTTTTTTCTCCCTTCCTTCCTCCTCTCCTCCTCCCCTCTTCCTTTTCCTTCTCCTCCTCTTCTTCCTTTTTTAATTTTGCCCCCTGCTCTCGGCCCTTCTTCCCTCCTCCTGGCAGTGCTTTGCTTGACAGAAATACTGGGGCCTAAAACAAGCACCTGTGCCCTTCTTGTTGACTGACGCCACTCCTGTCCTGCTGCAGATTTGTTTGGGGGGCAGATGTCCAGGGAGGCAGAACAGCAGGCTCCATCTTGCAGAGTTTGCTGTAGGGAGAGGGGAAAAGCCTGCTCTGTAATTTCCTCCACAGCCTCTTCAAATCCACATGTGACGCCTCAGATACCTTTCCTTAACAGACAAGGAAATGAGTCAGAACGTAGGATCCTTGCCCCAGGTGGCAAATGAAATCAGTGCAGAGGTAGAAATGAACAGAGCCGGCAGGCTGGAAGCTGTCCAGACGGGCTGCAGCAGTCACAGCCCCAGCCAGGCCGGCACACCGCGGTCACTGGGCACTACGGAAAGTTGTGTTCGTGTTTCCTGTCCATTCTTTATTCCCGTGAAGGAGCTGCACAGTGAATGCCTTGTTGAGAATTAATCATGTTCTCTGCTGCCTGGGACTGAGGCTGTTTCTCACGGCCTGCCCCTGTTTCGCTTGTCCCGAGGATTTCGAGTGAAGGGCGGGACATTCTGCCACCTCCCCCCACCCTAACTAGAGGCTGCAATCAGGACCAATGAAAGCCAAGAACCTCATCCACCCAGTGACTAAGAACTGGGAGTATTTAAGAGGTAGCAGGAATGGGCTGAGAATTGCTTCTGCTTTCTCCACAGACCGGCACACGCTCAGCTGACTTGGGGTATCTGAGCTGAAGACAGAGGAAAGTGGGGAAGATCTCACAGCTCCCTGGGCCACCATGTGCTTTGGCAAATGCGCGCGGTGCATAGGGCTGTCCCTGGCCGGGCTGGCCGTCCTCTGCATCGTGGCTAACATTTTGCTTTACTTTCCTAATGGGGAGACAAGGTTTGCTTCTGAAAACCACCTCAGCCAGTTCGTGTGGTTCTTTTCCGGCATCATAGGAGGGGGCTTGCTGGTAAGTCATGCGGAATTATTACAACCTCAAAAGAATTCTCTCCTGTTAAACTAGATGTTTTCATAGGAGATGTTCTGTAATTCTTATTTCCAAATCAAGTAACTTTGGGGAGTTCGTTTTTTGAAAATTGAGGTAGATACAGATACAGTGTCTTAATTTTATGAGAAGTTGTTTTATCCATTCTTCTTTCAACTAAAAGTGAGCTACCTTTTGGCTAAACTCCCTTACTTAATAGCTTGAAAAGAGATATTAGCGTTTAAATCAGATGTGAGAGATTCTAGAGTTTCTGGTACTGGATCAGGTAGTCATTTAACATTGCTCTAGGGAGCTGGGAGAAGTTGGCTGGTTCTCTGTCTAAATCAACACTGTTAGATCCAAATTCTCTGCTGTTTATTTTTAGGTATCTGTGACAGGGAAAAATGATGAATTGTGAGTGTAGTGCCATTTAGAAAGCTTTCTCCTTTATATAATCCTGGGGTGTTGTACCTAGGAAAAATCCTGCAGTTAGCACCAGATCAGTGTCTGAAGCTAACAGTGGAATGTGTTGTTTTTTCCAGTGGTTTTTTTTTTTAATCGAAGTGAGGGGAATTTGCTTGCCCACCTGGGAACTGAGAGCATTAGCCTCAACCACAGCATGGAAAGAATGTGGACAAACTTAAGTTTGCTACTTTAAAACGCTGGGATTAAGAATTTTAAGGAGAAATTCTGTAGAATTGTTAATACAAGATATATTTTCTTAGTCAAGTAGAAGACATCAAAACATTTAAGCCCAACACTCTAATTATAGCGTGGAAAAATCTGCTTCAGAGTGGAACATTATGTCACATTAACATAATCACTGGTGTTTAACATAACACAGCACTTAATTAGGTTTCTTTTGATCTTGAACTTCAAGTATTTCACCGTTACATGATTGAAAGAGTTTCATTAAGCTAAAACTAGGCATTTGTGTCTTCAAAGAAACAGTTTATATTTATTATCTTCGTGGGTCATTAGGAAAGTT